GAAATCGAAGATATTTTCTAATACTCATCCAATCAGTAATGGAATCGAAAATATTTTTAAATACTCATTTATTATTATTATTTTTTTTACTCGTAAATGAGATCGCTGAATGATCCTCGAGGGCTCCGAATTCATCTCGAAGACCGCCCAGCAAACTAAGCGATGCAAACACTTCCTAATCGCTCTGCAATAGTGCTCCCCCTAACCAGAGGGTGAGCTTTATTGCAATCCAGAATCATGCTGCCTAAGTAGGGGGAGGGACCCGAGGATGACTGCCTTCTGCACCTGGCCAGCTAAACTGAAGGCTTGACGCCTACAGGCCGTGATGGTTTTGAACGCAGATAGGAACGACTCCTTCATTTTCCCAAGAGAGCCAATGATAAGGACAACCACCTTCACTTTAAATCCTCTGCTTATTTGACGTAGCTCAAACAGGAGTGATTGGTATTTGAGCCGTTTCTCCTCTTCTTTCACTGTGATGTTGCTCTCAGCCGGAGCTGAGAACTCAATGACATAGATGATTTTGTCATCAAAATCGAAGAGGACGATGTCAGATTTCGGCGCAACGATTGGCCTGACAGTCGCGAACGAGAAGTTCCAGTAAATCTTACACCGCTCGTTCACGACAACAGACTTAATATCTCCTGGAGCATACGGCAGCAGTGGTGTTCTGTCTATCCCATAAGAGTGCCGCAGATGGAAATACAGCACTCTCAAAGCCGCATTATGTCGATGGATATAACTCGTGATGGCATCTATCGGGCAAGCCGATAAAAGATGCATCAGAGTTTCCAGGGACTGCTTGCAAGCCCGACATCGAATGGGTGGAACTGGCAACCCCATATGATGATTTCGATAGACTAGGGTGTTTATCACACCATCCTGGCAGGCGCAAATGAAACCTTCAGTTTCGGACATCAAGCCAGCTGACTTCGAGAAAGAGAATGTCAGCTGGGCGGAGAGACCCTGCTCTTCCACATGGCGGAAGAATACGCCATGCGTGGGCCTATCAACGTGCTGGCGGAACAAGGTGGACTGCTCCGTTGCCTTGATGGTCACTCTACGCCGAGATTTGGCCATGGTGGCTAATAAATCACCAGCCAACTGACCATCTCGGCCACGACAAATTTCCAAACCGAGGGACGCCGCTGCGATATCTGCTGCCTTATATAGGAAGGCTTGAACCCCAAGCAGCTCATGATCATGCACGAACTCCAAGTGCGGATCCAAACCATTCATAACGTCACAAGCTAAACCGAGGACTAGACGATCATGTAGAGGCTCCAAACTGAGAAGTCCCCGTCCCCCACTCTCCCGCCGAAAATATAACCGCGGACTGGAAGAGCGTCGATGAAGACTTCTGTGGATATTCTGTGGATACCCATCAGCTTGTGGGTATCTCTGTCCAGCTGCTTCAGTTCACCCCCACTCCACTTGAGAACTCCAAAGGAGTAGAGAAGCACCGGGACAGCGAACATGTTCGACGCGGCGACTTTATTCTTCCCGGAAAGTTCGGATTCCCAAACTTGCCGCAGCCGCCGCCTGTACTCTCCGCAAACAGTCTCCTTGACTGCCTCAGCGTCCACTACGGAACGCTGATTGAAGCCAAGATATCGATATGACTCTTCGGCGCCAAGATGATATATGGCGCTTCCATCCACAAGCTGAAGATCACCCATCTCGTCACTGAATTTGCCCCACTTTAGATGGAAAACGGCGCACTTGTCCAACCCAAATGTCACGCCACCCGCACGTGAATACACTGCGACAACGTCTAGCAAAAGCTTGAGCTGTCATTCTTCTGAGGCGAATAACTCAGTAAAATACATGGCTAACCTGGTGCCTCCTATCGCCAGGTCTTCCAGCTTGATATCCCCCAACACAACGCAGCGCAACAGAGAGCGGCATCAGTGAGATGCACAACAGAAGAGGACCCAGGGTGTCACCCTGGAAAACTCCTCTCCTGAATTGCACCAATCCTGAAGTCAACTTCCCCTCACCAGATGTTATAGTGAAGCGCGTCCTCCAGAGAAGGGCAAGATCTTTAATGCATCTCACTATGTTGTCTTCTACCGCAAGGCATTCGAGAAGCATGAAAATGAGCTCATGGCTCGTGCTATCAAATGCCTTGCTATAGTCGACCCAGGCCACCGACAGATTGCGATGGTACTGCAACGAATCGCGCATTACGTAGCGATCAAGCAGTAAACCCTTCTTGCAACCTGACAGTCCCCTCTTTGCTCCTCGTTGTTCGTGAATCTGCTGCCACACTGGCTGTATATTATGGAGGACACGCTCATTCAAGATACCGGTGAAGAGCTTATATAGTGTATTCAGACAAGTGATCGGCCGATAATTCGCCGGGTCAGTCAAGTCTCCCTACTTCGGGATCAGCACTCCCCTCCCCTCCACCAACCACTCAGGAACAGACTCACCGCCGTCGAGGAACGCCGTGAATATCCGAGCGAGATGGACATGCACAGAGGTAAACCTCTTCCACCAAAAGGCGTTAATACCATCAGGACCCGGAGCGGCGTGGTTCTTCATACCTTGCAAAGTAGATCGAACCTCGTCCTGAGTGACTCGCGAAAATTCCACGCGCTGCCGACGATGTTTCTTACAAAACACGCGAAATTCCCGAAGGGCTGGAGTCTCCACTATGAGATTAGAGACCTGACCATACAGATCTCCCCAGAACTCTTCAACTCGCTCAACTGATGGCATCTTATCCGGCGCAGGCGTAGGCGGCTCGAACCAGCGACTGGGATCAGAATGGAAGACAGAATTGTCTACCACCCGACGCAACCGCTGTTCCAGAGAACGTTTCATGGTCCCCAGAACGTGCACCCTTTCAACAAATCCCTCCTTAATCAAGAGGAGGACTGCTTTATTCAGCGTGTGATGATGGTAGCGCAAATTCGCGGATATTTTACGAATGCGCGACGTAAAAGGCTTACCACCGATGATGAAGTCAATCACACACTGAATGCTCGACGCCTGCTTCCTAGCCTCATCGACTTTGCCTCAGAGCTGTGAAATGCGCCTTCGCGTGTTCACCTCAAATATCCCTTTACTTAGGTTCTGAGGCTTCAAACGAAGAGCCGCATCATGCCCAGCCCAGTTCAGATCGAGCAAGTTGATATGCGGAGGAAGGACTGCGGCCAGACCCGCATTCTCTTAAACCAGATCTTCAGGCCGGAGACGGAACTTCCCTGTGACTCTCTCTCGTCTTGCCCCTATATCACGCGAGGACCCCTGAGCCTCCTCATGGCTCTGTTGGGTCGATTGCTCTGACTGTATATCCTCACTCCTCTGAGATACCACAAGAGGAGGAGGATCCATCAGCCCCCGTGGAACGACAAGCAAATCATATCCCTGTCGGCGCAAGCGCCTGGCTTGATCTCTCAAATGCTGAATTGTGAAGTGCGAAAACTCAGGGTGCATTGCGCACCACAAGCTACGCATTCTTGCCATGTAGCCAACTTGCGCCGGCACACTGTCCTGCCAACATTGCATGAGGTCCTCCTTGAGTTCCTCCGTCCACCTAATCCTTTGGACAGCCGGGTTGTTACCATTGGATCCAGATCGTTCACCCCTCCCAACTGATCCGCGGTCCCCATCCGAGAGGGACCGATTGTGGGGGGCTCTGCCGCGGCTCGATGACGGAACCGGGTATAGGTGCCGCCGGGTGGTTAGCCCGACACCACCATGGCTATTGCGGACATGCCGGGCGATGGGTTCGCCACACTCCCTACGCCTAAATGCCATCAATTCACGTGGGACGTGAATTGACGGGAATTAACGGGAGTTGAGTTTATTATTATTGTTATTATTATTATTTTTATTGTAATTATTATTATTATTATTATTATTATTATTATTATTATTATTATTACAGTCCATGCCCATATGAGTTTACATTGATAACCGACACTCACTTTGTAGAGGGGGAGTGGTTATGCATCAGTTGAAAGAATACAGAACTCAACAAAGGAGTCTACAAATCATTCTCACTAAAACTGAAGAAAACGAAAAATAAATCACATAATAAAAATCAGGCCCGGTCGCGCGCTTCGCGTGCTCCCTCTTTGGGGTATGACCGGTAGGGATTGGTAGAATTGAGTGTGACCTATTACGGGTCGACCCAATAACTTCCCGACCATTTGTTTTTTCTTTCATTATTTTTTTTATTATGTATTTATTCAATATTTTACTCACATTTCTCTGGGGAAATTCCCAGAGAAGGAAAGTTTCTTCGCAGATTTAATAAACGCTGGGGTCATGCCATACGCAATGCTAGTCAATGTCAGAAATATTTGGAAAACAGTTGAATAATTATTCCATGGGTTGCATGCGTTTAGCGTTGGATCAATTGTGCCATTACCCTTACGGTGATTTCGCAAAGAACGCATTTGCAATTTAAGTTACCTCAAACTTTAATCAAGTTTGAGTTGATCCCACTTTACTTGATCCACTTCAAAATTCTGTCAACTCCGAAGCTGATCCACTTAAAAATTTGCAACTTCACAGTTGATCGACTTTAAAATTTTCCAACTTCAAAGTTGACCCACTTCAAAATTTTGCAATTTCAAAGTTAACCCACTCTAAAATTTTCCAACTTTCCCTTTTTTTTAATTGCAAAATTCGAAAGTTTCATTTAAAAAACTCAACAACCACTGAGGCGATTTCGCTCAAAATCCAATGAGAATCAAATTATGTGGAGATGCATCAATTACACAAAATTAATTCAAATCCCATCGTTACCTCTGGTAAAGTGGTCAAATTTCTATGAAATTAACGTTTTTTGGCATTTTTTTACAAGTTTTATGCGGATAAATAAAAAAGTGCTGAGTCAATTATTTTCATAAATTAATCACTTCTAAGCGACATGAACACCCATCGTTTGAAGGAAGGAAAAAATCAATCGCTTCATTCGTTCAGGAGATATCGTTGGACAAAATTGTGGTCTCATACGTACACACACACACACACACACACACATGACAACGAAGGAGGAGGTGCACGAGGCCCTGAAAGACGCAGCGGGAGCCGATTGTGAGATCTCCTTAGAAGCGATCAGATCCCTCCGCAAGGCTTATGGAGGCACACAGACCGCAACGGTGACCGTAGCCGCGGCGGTAGCCAGGAAAGTCGGAGAAAAAGGCAAAATCCGGATAGGATAGGTCAACTGTCTGATTCGAAGAGTGGAGAGACTGGTTAAGTGCTTCAAGTGCTGGCACTATGGACCTCCCGCCATCAAGTACAAGAGCAAGGTGAACCGAGCAAAGCTCTGTACAAAGTGCGGAGGAGAGGGACACAAAGCAGCTGTCTGTGAGAGGGAAGTCCGTTGTGTTTTGTGTACCCAGAAAGACGAAACGAAGAAGTCTGCCCATATTGTCGGTAGCAGCAGATATCCTGTTTTCAGGGAGGCACTCCAGAAGATCAATAATAAACGATAGTGTGGGTGTTACAGCTCAACCTCAACCATTGTGAGGAGGCACATGATCTTCTTATGCAGACGGTGCGGGAGCTGAAGATCGATCTGGTTATCATTTCGGAGCCATACAGAAGTCTCGACACTCAACTCTGGGAGACGGATAAGAGCCGTAAGGCCGTAATCTGGTCTTGCGGCAAGTACCCGTTTCAGGATGTTGCAATGACGGGAGAGGCTGGATTTGTGGTACTGAAGCTGGGAGGAATTCATTTCTACAGCTGTTATGGTCCGTCGACCCTCACCTTCGATGAATTCGCAGACTTTCTGGACAGACGGAGTGCAAATGCGAAGCAGAAATCTTTCGTGGCAATTGCTGGAGACTTCAACGCCTGGGCAGTCGACTGGGCAGTAAAGAGACCAAACCAAGGGGGCAAGCACTCCTGGAGGCCATGTTCTCGTTGGACCTTGTTCTGTTGAACACAGGTGATGAACCCACGTTTCAAAGAGGAGAAAAACCTCGATCGTAGATCTCACCTTCGTGAGCAGTAACCTCATAAGAGCAAAATACTCATGGCAGGTAGCTGACATCTACACTGCCAGTGATCATCGTGCGATACTCTGGGAGGTAGCCTCCGGCCGAAGGACCAGGCTGGTGCCAAAGAAGAGGAATGCAATAGGCTGGAAAGTGAGCACATTCGACTCGAGCACCTTCCTAATTGCTTTCGACGACTGTCCGATCCCCGGCAGCAATGCCAAGGAGAAGACAGACGATATCATGAGGAGAGTTACTGATGCGTGTGATGCTAGCATGTCCAGAAAACGAGCTAGCAATCATCACCCACCAGTGTACTGGTGGAACAACACCATCGCCGACTTACGGAAGGAGTGCAATGCAGCGAGAAGATCGTCTCAACGTGGCTATAACAAGCCGAATTGTAAGGAGTGGGAAACGAGATACAAGAAGCCACGCCGGAAGTTTACCAAGGCCATCAAAAGGAGCAAGAAGAAGACATGGAATGAGCTCCCGGCGGAAGTGGAGGGTGATCCATGGGGTCGGCCATACAAGACCATGATGACTCGACTTAAAAGTCAACCGATGCCATCGCCAACATGTCCGGAAGTCATGGAAAAAATCGTCACAGTGCTGTTCCCACAACAGTCGTTGCTGCAACGGGGCGTTGAACGGGAAGAGGAAGAACTGGTCCCACTGATAACTGAGGCAGAACTGTTAGAGGCTTGCAGTAGAGTGGGTAACACCAAGGCCCCTGGGGTGGATGATGTCCCAAACGTTGCATTAAAATCACCTATCCCGGCAAAACCGAGATTGTTCCTCCACGCATAGAGGAGGCTTCTTAAGTACGGGGCCAAAGCATGTCGAGTCACTGGAGGGGTTCCTCAAGGCTCAGTATTGGGACCTCTCTTGTGGAATATCATGTACGATGGGCTACTGAAGCTGACCAGGTGTTTTCAGGAAACACCTGGAAGACATGAAGCTTGTGTTCAACATGGTCTTCAGCACTATTCGTCACTGGATGGATACCGTAAGTCTACAGCTGGCTAAGCACAAGATGGAGGCCGTGTTGATCACGAGCAGGAAGCAAGTAGAGACTATATCGCTGTAAGTCGGGGACAACTTTAAGCAGCAGGCAGAGCACATCAGTGCCAAGGCCTCTGGAGTCCGAGTCAGCCTATCGCGCCTCATGCCCAATATAGGGGGACCCAAGCAGAGGAAACGAGCATTACTATCATCAGTGGTAACGTCCGTTCTCACATACGCCATTGCCATCTGGGGCGATGCACTTCAGTTACAAGAAGTACAGCGGAAGATTGTACCAATCTACCAATTAAGTGCCCTCAGGATTGCGAGTGCATATCGCACAGTCTCTGCGGATTCCGTATGTGTCATTGCGGGGATGCCACCCATAGAGGTACTAGCTGAGGAGCGAAAATCTCTGCACTGGCGGAAGAGATCGGAAACGCTCAGATTCGAACAACTGGCGACGGAAGAGAAGCAAAACAGCTTAAGCTGATGGCATCAGAAATGGACCGACTCAACCAAGGGTAGATGGACCCATCATCTGATCCTACAAGTAGCTGTCTCGGTAAGTCGAACTCATGGAGAAGTCAATTACTATCTTTGTCAAATGCTTTCAGGGCACGGATGCTTCCGGGAATATCTCCATAAATTCAAACATCAAGATTCCCCGGAGTGCCCGACCTGCACAGGAGTGGATGAGAACGCGGAGCACGACTTCTTCGCATGCCCCCATTTCAGTGACATCCGGAATACTTGGGAGTCGGACCTCGGAAGGGAAATTTCCCCCGAGAATGTGGTAGAAGCAATGCTGTGCTCGCAGGCAGCATGGGACGCAAATAGCGAGTTGGCGGCTTAGGTCATAAAGGAGCTCAGGAGTGAGGAACGGAAGCGCAAGGATGCAGTATAGGTGAGAAATCTATTGGAACCTCCTACCCACGCACAACATCTTAGTAGGGTAGGGGGACGTACATTAGGTAGAATAACAAGGAAGAACAAATAGCTGAGGCCCCCCCGCGAAGTAATACTTAACGGTGTTGCCACGAGGGAAATAGGCATGGACGATTAGAGGTAAAAAGAGGAAAACAGAGTTTTTACTGTGTAAGAATCCCAGATCTGTTTTTTAACATCACTTTACCGGAATCTTTTGAAGATTTTCCTAAACATCTATAAAAAAAAACATACACTCATACAGACATATCTTCAAAAATGTATCAGGATGATTCCGGAGGTCAAGAAATGTGGAGAAATCATCGAAATTCCACATTTGATTTTCGGGGTCATTACAATAACTTCCTTCGGGTCGAGAATTTAAAAAATAATTTATGAGAATTCCATAATCCGAATCACGAGACAACCGCTGAGATGATTTTCCTCTTAATTCAATAAGATTTATTCTACACGGAGATACGTCGATTGCACCCAAAAAAATTCATATCACATCATTACTCTAGGAGAAATAGTGGAAATAGTGAAAAAAAACTCATTTTTGACGTTTTTTCACATATTTCTAGCGAATAGCTGAAGAACCGCTGAGGCGATGGTCTTCACAATCTAATCAGTTCTAAGTTACATGGAGATGCGTTGATTGAAAGAAAAAATCAAATTGAATCGTTGGTTCAAGAGAAATCGTGTCCCAAAATTTTCGGGTCACATACATTTGAAAACACACACACACACAGACATGTATTCAAAAACATCATAGAAAGATTTCAGGAGTCATGAAACATGGAGATACTATTAAATTTCGACTTTCGATTTTCGGGGACATTACAATAACTTCCTCCCTTCGTTTCTGGAAGTTAATCACTAGTGATCGGGTTTTTTTCCATGAGATTGACGACGCATCTATGGAATTGGGGTTTTGCATGAAAATTTTTTATTGTTGAATATGAAAATTAAATGAAAAATATTAGATACATATGTTTTTCTTTTGAGAAATAATGAAAAATGAACAAGTCGTAGGTGATTGTTTTCGCGTGACATACGATGTCACGCCAAAACGCTCATATCCGAATCATTGTGACGTCATAAGTTCAACGTTTCTTCAATTGGCTATAACTTCTTGATTTTTCATTTTCTTCCAAAATAAAAAAATAAGTATCTAGTATTTTTCATCCCATTTTCGTATTTCATCATTTTTTTCAATAAAAAATTGCATGCAACAACGCAATTATCCATTGAGATTCTTATTTTCATTTCTTTTGGTGTTATTTTCTCAACTTAATTCCTTCAATTTTCATAATTTTTAACATTTTCCATTTCAAGATTTTCGAGTAGAAAATAACCAGAAGTATTATTTTTAAAATAACTAAATAACCGCTCAGACGATTTCTTTTTTTATTCAGTCAGATATATTCTACACAAAGACGCATCGATTGCATAAAAAATAATTCAAAACGCATGAATTCTTCCGGAGATATGGCCAAATTTGCAAAAAAAATATTGCTTTACGTTTTTTCACATGTTTTTTGCAAATAACTGAAGAACCGCTGAGTCGATCGTCTTCAAAAACTAATCACTTCTAAGTTACATGCAGATGCGTCGATTGAAAAAAAAAATTCACATTGCACTGTTCCTTGAAGAGAAATCGTAGCTCAAATTTTTTGGCGTCAAATACATTCGCACATACGGACACACACACACAGATGGACATATGTTCGAAAACATTATAGAAAGATTCGACGAGTCATGAAACGCGGAAACATCATTGAATCAACTTTTGATTTTCGGGGTCATTACAATGACTTCCTCCCTTCGGGTCGGCAAGGTAAAAATTGATACGTCAAAATGGTCAGCCCATTCATAACTAACGTTCTTGAAAATCCAGCGCTTCCATCAAAAACAAGGCCAACTTATTCATATGCTTGGGATTATGAATGTCTAAAACCGTATATAAAATATCATGTTCAACTCTGATATCATGGTAGAAAGAGCATCTGATTATGTTTTCTGTAATGCTCAAAATTTTGTATAAGAATGTTTAAAGCCAGAATAATTTTATGTAAAATCATTAAGAACCAAACCAACAATTGTAAATTAAGTTGAGTGCATTTCATCACGTGAACTCGATTAAAAATTCCAAAGACATTGGAATCGAGTTTAAACGTGATGAAATGGCCCACTCAGCATGTCCCAATTACTCAACATTACGATTCGCGCGCGCAGGAACGATTGAAAACCGATGAATTGAAACCCCAAAAACTTCCCCATAAAAATCAAAAGAGTGGAAAAAGTCATACGCCATTTTCCACCAATTAAAAATAGACTCGTTGGAGCCCACGTGACGAGTGACCCGAAAATTCATATAAAAATATCAGAAAAAACCAAATTAATCAGTCTTGAAGCAGCGACGGATCAGTAACAATTCTGGTGGAAATAGTTGATTTAATCGGTCCCGTTTTTCAATCCTTCCTTCGATTACGCGGGATAGTACTCAATTAATAGTAAGTTATGAACAATTGAAATTATCCGGGAATAAAATTTCTTTAATCGAGAGTGGTGACTTTTCTTACAAATAAGGAATTCATTCATTGTGACGCTTTGTGGATAGTCTCAAACAAACTCTTAAACTCTTAAAATTCAATTGTCAAAAGTTATTAAAATATCAACGAGCAGAAGAAAGTGTTTCTGTGAAAGTATCCATAATAGCCTTTAGCACAACTAATTGCTGGTGAGAAAATTAGGGATTTACCCAGGGATTTACAAACATATCGATTAATTTATAAATAACAGAACGAATTGTGAGTAAAAAAATTTTCAAACCCAAATTACATCCTTCAGATCATTCCAGGGGTAGGAATTTTAACTGCATAAATTTCTGTAAAATCACGCTCATGTTTTTGTCAACCGAATAGTTATTCAAAATCTATTTAAATTCAAATTTGATTCCCATTACAACTCCAAATTTCTTGATTAGTAATTAGTCTCAACTCAAACCCTATCCCTAAATCAAACCCTTTTCCGTTATATTTTAGAAAAAGGTAAAAGTATAAAACTTTGCGTCGTCCAATAATTATAGAATCTAATAATTTTAGTTTTGATTTTAATGTGACAATTAAAACATGTTCTTTCGAGCCTAAAATCTTTCTCCGGACATAACAGCTAAAATTTCGTGGCGAAGTCGGTAGGACTCCCCTAAGTTTACAATAGTCTTATCTTTTAAATATTTTAAAATTTTTTGAAACCCATTCTAGTCAATTTAATTCAATTCACTTCTAACCAATTGAAATTTTAGCTGTGGGAAACCCTTCTTAAAATTCAAATATTAGACTTTATCTTACAAAATTCGAATTCTCCTTGAAATAATTATAAGCGAAATTTTGCTTTCTTTTCCCAATTTTATTGAAAAAAATCATATAGAATCTTAATTCAAATCAACTTAGTCCCAAACTTGAAAATTATCAGCTAATTAAATTATTTTCACAAAATGGCGAATCGGTCCTTCGTTAATATCAGTTACTCTGGAGACTCGGGTGATGCTGATCAGACCGTTTCCAGCTACGAAGAATATGTCAAAGCTCGAGACATTGCAAACAGCATTCCCATATTCCCCGGAACAAATGAGCACTGCTCTCTGGACGAATTTGAGTACACGTTGAGATCAAATCTTGCCTCCATTCCTAAAGCAGACGGAAAGAAGGAAGAATATATTAGACAAATACTCAAACGCCTTTTACCTCCTGCAAAATTCGTAGTGGCAAACAAACCTCTCTTTTCTGTAGAAACTATGCTTACGCACCTAATCAAGAGATTTAGAGGTCAATACGACTTAACGTTCTATGTGAATAGAATACGCGGGCTGTTGA